GTGTGTAGGGGCCGTAACCCACCGGGCGCGTTTCAGAAGCGTAGCATCATGCGTGCAGGCTCGCAGTTTTGTTATTGATTCGGGCATCCTGGACATTTGTACTTCTACAAGAAAGTTAGTAGGAGAAAGTAGTAGTACGTAGTTAAATGTTTTATTTTTGTGTCTGTTTAAATTGTGTTTATTGAATGGCTCTGTACTGTACCTACAAGTATTAATTAACTTTAAAACATTAATATGTAGTTGTTACCTTCCACTCCACAAACTGCAGCGACTAAAAACCAGGCCTTGTCCTTTCTGATGTTGTCCTTGTAGTAAGCATTGGTTACATCATATAAAATAGTGTGTTTTTCCACTTCCATGATGAAAACCTCGTCGTCCATTGTGCGTATCATAGTGGAGGTGTTGTGATGAAGGAGGGGGGTCTGCTAAATTAGTATATGTGGGGGATGGGCCTGGCCCGGATGCTCACCTTTCCACTTCCTGTGAGGGGGGGGGCTGCCTGCCCGACCTTACCTTACGGCTGGGCCGCGGCAAAAATAGGATTCATCCTAATTTTAGAGAAGTGCTGCGCCGAGCCGCTTCTGGGACGCGTTTGAGCCGTAACCCGGCGCGTGTGGTGGAATAGCACCCATTGACTAGAGTGGCCACGATCCTTACGACCGCCACGGCGCAGCCGTAACGCGGCGCAGACGGACCCGGTGGAAACTGGGGGACAGACGAGAGGGGTGGCGACGAGAGTGTCACGTTACCCCCAGTTTCCACCGGGTCCGTCTGCGGCGCGTCGTAAGGATCGTGGCCACTCTAGTCAATGGGTGCTATTCCACCACACGCGCCGTGTTACGGCTCAAACGTATTTTATATGATGTAACCAATGCTTACTACAAGGACAACATCAGAAAGGACAAGGCCTGGTTTTTAGTCGCTGCAGTTTGTGGAGTGGAAGGTAACAACTACATATTAATGTTTTAAAGTTAATGAATACTTGTAGGTACAGTACAGAGCCATTCAGTAGTTTAACATCTTGTGAAAGTCGTTAAACTGTTCAGTAAACTTGCATTTCACAATAAAGTAAGATCTTATTTCCTATATCAAGATTATAATATTATATTATTATTTTGTATTTATATTTTTATAAATATTGGTTTTTTAACTATACTTTATCTTGTGAATTTCGCCCAGGGATCAATACAGTTGTGTTTAACCCTTTATAATGATATTATATTTTTGTATTATAATTTGTTTTTATTCATGTGTTATAACAACTACCCAAAGTACTGTCAATAATGTTTAAATACAGTATGCTGTGGTGGAAAACCTTGCATTTATAGTCAGATAAATTGTGAGGACAGACAAGAATAATTTGGCAGTCATTTGTCAGACAAAACAATGTATTATAAATTGTATTACATACAAAACATACAGTACAATAACCTTTTTGTTCATCAATTTGTCAGTGTAATAACTGTTGTGTGTTCCAGTAATCACACCATTATATCCTGCCAAGACACACTGCCCTCAGGAGAGTTGAAGAAGGTGCAGAAAGCCTCCCTCACATTACAGGCCTCTCTTGAGGCCCTGTTTCCTCCCATGTTTCTCACTGGTGCCATGTGTCTCCCCTGCTCCTCGTCTTCATATAGCAACCTCTGGTTTTCACTAGGGGCCAGCAGGAAGTTGTGAAGGATGCATGCAGCCACCACAAGCTTGTCCACATTTTCCGGGTGCAGGTTGATACGGCGATGGAAGATTCTCCACCTGGGGGCCAGAATGCCGAAGGCATTTTCCACCACCATCCTTGCTCTGGAAAGTCTGTAGTTTAAAATCCTCTTTTGATGAGTGAGGTTCTTTCCGGGGTATGGTCTCATGAGGTATGGCTTGAGTGGGAAAGCTGCATCACCCACCATGACGAATGGCATCTCACCCAGGTGAGCAGCACCAGGTAGAGAGGTACTGGTTGGAACATGAAGTGTTCCAGCTTCCATTCCTTTCCCCAAATCCGATCCGGCATACACCCCACCATCACTTGTTCTTCCGAAGTCCCCCACCTGAATCACTCGGAACCTGTAGTCAGCATCAACAAGTGCCAAAAGCACTATGGAAAATGTCTTCTTGTAGTTGAAGTACTGACTCCCAGACCGTGGTGGTGCTTGGATGACGATGTGTTTTCCGTCTATTGCTCACAGGCAATTTGGGAAATTCCATTTTTCCCAGAAGCCTTGTGCAACCTCCTTCCATGTTTCTTCTGTTGGCCTGGGCAGGAACCTCTCCATCATCTTTTTCTCAATGGCTGCACACACCAAATGGACAGAGTTTGTCACAGTAGCGCATCCTAGGCGATAGCTGAATGCTAGGCTGACCAATGAGTCCCCGGAAGCCAAGTATCTGAAGGGTAAAAAAAAAATCAAAGAAAAATATGTGAAATCATGTTATTAATCTGAATCTATTCTTTGTTTCAGTCGACATTTGCAAGGCACGATGGAAGTCACTCCGGGATGCTTTTGTTAAAAACAGGAAGAAATCTCTCCCAAGTGGATCTGCAGGTGGCACGCAAAAGGGCTGGAAGTATACAGACAATGTTCTTCCTTTTGCCCTATGTACAGCAAAGGAGGTATGTATGCACATATTTTAATTTATATAATTTTGTAATTTGTGATGATGTATTGCAAAGGGTATGAAAGACTTTATTTTAAATTACATAAATATGTTCCTATTGCATAAATTAATCCCAAGAAAAAAGGTTTTAATTGTTTTCATGTTGTTTCTTTTCATATAGTTCAAAAAGCAGCTTGAGCAATCCTTCCCCTGTAGAAGACATGGAGAGAGCATCTACACCCCTGTCATTGGAAACAGAGGAACATGCCAGGACAGCATCTGGATCTCCAGGCCCACCACCTACAGCCCCACCACCTCTGGAACCCACAATCTCTGCAGAGAGGCAAAGGCCCTCTAGGTCCCGTAGCCCCAGGGATCCCATTTCCGCACCAGCAGCGGCCCAGCGTTCCATACGGGACACAAGGAGGAGGCCACAGAGCGCAGACCTTGGAGAGCAGCTGATGTCTCTACTGCAGGAACCTCCAACTGCACCACACATGCCAGACTCAGAATTAGAGGAGTCATACCACTTTGCTCTCAGTCTTGTGCCCATGTTGCAAAGACTGGACAAAGACAGAAAACATCAGGCAAAAATCTCTATTTTAAACACCATCCACAACTTGGAAAGAGACACCCAACACCAGCAACATTGGCAGCCCATTGACCATCCCCCCGCCACTCAACATTCCATTCACACCTCCAGGCCAGTAGCCTTTCGGCCAAGTGTACCCCAACCCCCACGCGCCCAATCAACACCTACAGGGCCATCAGACATGCTGTCCTCCAGCAGTAGCTCAGCATGGCAGGAGTCTTTTTACGAACAATTGTAGTTGAGCAATTGAGTTCATTGTTTTTTACTGTAAATAGTTCCTTTTTTTGTGTTGATTGTTTATATTTGATGTTTCTGTTTAAAATGTTGTTTGGGATGAAATTGTTAAAAATAAAACGTTTATTAAATTTGTGGTCAGTGATTTATTGTCTGTGAAATGTGCATTTTACCTCAGTGCAACAGTCAGTCTCTGCTTGGGTTCAATGGCAGCTCTGTAATTTGTGGATTGTCTGGTCAGTTCAGGGCCCAGGAGGGACAGCAGTTCATCCATCTGCTCTGCACTCATCCGAAAATATCGATGATGTCTTTGGCTGTCCAGCCTCAGCTCAGCCACGAGGTGATGAAAATCACCTTGTTGTCTTCTTTGCTGGTTGAGGGGGTGCACCCAAAACCGGCTCCTTCTCTTCCCCCCATCCCCCCGTAGTCTTTCAAGTAGGAGAATAAATGCCAGCGTTCTCCTCCGGTTTACAGGCACTGTAAATTATATATATAGAATAATTATGATGATGAATGCATTTGTTTACCACTAAAATACAGCAACACATATTTGATTCATGTAGTTTATAACGAGACTATTACAATTATTATTAACTGTGTCTGTAGACTACAACACAACAAAATAGGAAATTTATAACAACAATAAACACAATTTAAACAGACACAAAAATAAAACATTTAACTACGTAGCCTACTTACTTTCTTGTAGAAGTACAAATGTCCAGGAAGCCGAATCAATAACAAAACTGCGAGCCTGCACGCACGACGCTACTGAAACGCTTCTGGGACGCGTCCGGTGGGTTATGGCGCTAGAGGAGGTCGGACCAAAACCGCGGCGCAGCGCGCGCAGACGGACCCGGTGGAAACTGGGGGTTACTTCTCTCGCGGCATAGTTAACGGCATGGTAGGTGACGATCGACATGTTAGTGAGCTCAGTGAGTTTAGTTCATTGGCACAAATCACACCTCATACGCCTACACCCTACCCCTACCTACACCCTACCCCTCCGTTTGCACGTTCACGCGGAGGGTCCGCCATATTAAGGGCTGTTCCAAAGCAACGAGTGTGGAGCGGTGTGGAGGGGGAGTGGGCTATCAAGCCCTCAAACAGCGAGTCTGCAGCGGTGCTGACTTGAGACCGGTCTCTACCTGACCCGTCTCAACGCTGTGTGTGTCCGTCAGGAAACAAGCTGTTAACAAGTAGTTCCAGCAAACATCCACTGATAAATTGCGATGTTAACAACCTCATGATGACCTCATAATAACACAATGAAAGATGTTTGGAGTTTTATTTGAGTTATTCATTTACATTTTTTGTCAAAGAGATGCTGATTTGAAACCGTTGTTAGATACAGTTACGGCATTTCCTGTTTCTGCCGGAGAGAGGGGAGGCCGTCCCAAAGCTTGCTGCTGTATTTACTCCCTCCATCTGACAGGAGGGAGCCTCGTTGAGCTGCGAGTGTGGCTACAGACGGAGTTCACTCCGTCACGGAGGGGTAGGGTCGAGGGAGTGGTTTGGGGGGATTGGGCCAGAGTTTCACGAGCAGAAGAGCAGGAATTGCTCGCGTGAGCGCAGGAGATAGTGATGGGTATTTAGATTCCCTTCGGGGACACGAATCTTTTGATTCAGTTCACTTTAAAGATTCGTTCACCGGTTCGCAAACGACTTCTGGTGATTTGCACGTTCTCGAACGATTCGTCTTTGTACTTAATTCGTTCAGTGAGTCTTCACTTCAAAAAAATATATCCTCTACATCGGTGACGATTTATTCATATTCTATGTACCCATCTATGTTTACCTTTAGCTAGCGGCTAAGCTAGTGGGATGCTATGGAGCCCAGCTATTCGCCCTCTGAAGCTTTTAGGGCCGACAGGGGGAGGAGAATGTCCCGCTAACGCTGTGTGTGTGTGTTTCACATTAGCGGGACGCTATGGAGCTCAGGTATCCGCCCTCTGAAGCTTTTAGGGCCGACAGGGGGAGGAGAATACAACGCTGTGTGTATTTATCGCTAAGCTAGCAGCTAAGCTAGCTGGATGCTACGGAGGCCAGCTATCCGCCCTCTGAAGCTTGTAGGGCCGTCAGGGGGAGGAGAATGTCCCGCTAACGCTGTGTGTTTCACATTAGCGGGACGCTATGGAGCTCAGGTATCCGCCCTCTGAAGCTTTTAGGGCCGACAGGGGGAGGAGAATACAATGATGTGTGTATTTATCGCTAAGCTAGCGGCTAAGCTAACTGGACGCTACGGTTCAGGTATCCGTCCTCTGAGGAGGATGTCCCGCTCCTGTGTGTGTATAACGCAGCTCAGATGAGAGGGCTCTGATTACAGTTTTAATCCTCTGTCAAACTGCATGTTTTCTGCTATATTTGATGAGAGATAAAATGATTTTCTGCCACAGGAGTTTGACAGAGAATAACTGAAAGTACACAGTAAAATAACTTCATAGTAGCCTACTTGTGGTAGAAGTCCAACTAGTACTGAGTCCAACAGTAAAGTACTTCATTGTATTTGTGGTAGTTGTCTAACTGAGTCCAACTCTGTGTAGACGGAACATCCAGTATTTCGGAGGGGCCCTAACAGGACCCTCCTCTTGAAAGAAAGGGATATAAGATAAAAGAACTGTAGGAAACAGTTCTGACCTGTTTCCGCCAGTTCTTTAAGTTCGTCGTTCGCGAACAGCTTCTCTTTAGCTTTTGGCGGAAGGCGGCGACTCAAACAAACAAATCGTTTTGTGGGAGGAATCAGTTCATCTCGTTCACTTAAAAGATTCGTTCACTTCAAAGATTCGTTCAAAAAGAACAAATCGTTCGCGAACGACCCATCACTAGCAGGAGACCAAGGAGAGCTCATGTAGATGCTGCACATGCTCAAGGCATGTTTCTCCCCTGCAGGCTTCAATATTGCTCTCGCGCGAATATAAATATACATAAAATAATATACGTCCGCGGCTGCTTGACTTGTGCTCGCGTGGATCTCATATGCCCTCGCGATTTATGACAGATTTGCCGCCATAGGTCTCTACCTGACCGGACTCAACGCTGTGTGTGTCCGTCAGGAAACACGCTGTTTACAAGTAGTTCCAGCAAACATCCACTGATCAATTGCGATGTTAACAACCTCATATTTTTTTAACTTAGGATCATATACCTGTGTTTAGTCTAGAAAAAGATAAATATATGCATTTTATTATAAAGTTGTGTATATTTACAGACTGTTGCAAAAACTGAAGCTTATAAACATCAGGTTTAAAACTAAAAGAGCTTTACAAAAAAGTAACACAATGAAAGATGTTTGGAGTTTTATTTGAGGTATTAATTAAAAAAAATGTGTCAAAGAGATGCTGATTTGAAACCGTTGTTACATACAGTTACGGCATTTCCTGTTTCTGCCGGAGAGAGGGGAGGCCGTCCCAAAGCTTGCCGTTGTATTTACTCCCTCCATCTGACAGGAGGGAGCCTCGTTGTGCTGCGAGTGTCACTCCACAGAGTTCACTCCGTCTCGGAGGGGGAGTGTGTAGGGGTAGGGTGTAGGGCGTGGATTGGGCCTTAAGGCCCTGACACAATAAGCAGTCTCCAGAGAATTCGCCGACACCGACTGTTGTGTCACCGTGTTCTCCTGCGTCGTGGCCAGTTGTTTTGGTTTGTTGTTAGTCTGCTTTGTAAATTGGCTGGTGAGCCATCTTCATTAACTATATCTTCTAATTTTGCAGTTTCTTCTCTCTTTTACTCCCGGTTATTTTGATATGCACGCTACACTTCCCTTTGTTCCCCTAATTTATAAGGGATTGTAACACTATTCATAGAAGTCCTCAGAAGACTTGACTTTGGAGTCCTAAATGGTCAGGGAGGGTGTACTGATTTTATTCAAGTTGAATTATCATTTAGATAATATGAAAATAACCACTTTCAATATTTTACAGCTAAATGTCCGTAATGGAAATGAAAATGCATGCAAGTCCTAAATAAAAATCTATAATGCCTGAGTAAATGTAAATAGTTGCTGGTTGTCATGAAGGCAATCATTTATCTGGCTCTCCTCTCTTCTGACAGATTTGCTGCTGCACTGCGTTCCCACTGCTGATAACCTCATCCCATTACACGGTCGCCGTGGAAACACCACACATGATGGGTGTGTCTATTTTTCACATTCCTTTCCTCTGTCCCTTCATTTGGCAACATTCCTTCTTCCCATCTACTGTACCTGTATTATCCTCCTCCACTAATGCACCAGATGCTCCCCTGTTTCCTGTCTATACAATCATTAATGTGTGTGTGTGTTTGTGTTTGTGTGTGTGTTTGAGTCCTCCTCCCTCTGTTTCTTGAAATTCATTATTCTTGACATGAGATTAGAGCTTTGACGGATACACATTTCATATTCACATAAAATCAAGACGCATAAAATCAAGACGCTTAGTTGGCTTGATGAACTCAATGTTTCTTTGTGAATAATACTGAAAAGAGGGTATTTTAATGTCATCCTTCCAGAGTCATTATGTGGCTGTTGTCATTAGGACCCTACTTTAGAAAAGTGTCAAATATCAACCAAACAGTATTCTAATCCCAGCAAACTGTTTTATTCAGATGCGTGCAGACATGGCCAGTCTGGTGTTGAGGTGAAGGAGCACATTTATAAAGACTGCTTAACATGCACAAATAAGACAAATCAAACTGTTTTCAAGAACCCCCCCCCCCTGTCTGAAATACTTCCGTATATGCAGGGCCGGCTCTAGACAATTTGTATATAAAGAATAAATAAAACATTTCTACAAAAGACGAATACACTACAAAAACAGAAACGTATTGACATAGGTAATATACATCAAAAAGGCTTCAAATGTATTCAGTATTGTATGAACATGTTTGAATTGGGGGATGGACGTCACATCCTCTAATATTTGAACATTTTAAAGTAAAATGCTTCAATCTGGTGCACTTTGAGCAGAATTACTAGAGACTAGATCTAGGGGGTACAACTCTAAAACACCCATATGAAAAAGATCGGTTTACATTTTAATAACCAAATAAGTATGTGAACATAACCAATAACCTACCATAGCCAATAACAAATAAATGTAACTTATTTTATTTTTGTTGTTCATTCATATCTTATTTGACCTAGTTAACATTCATTTATTTATTCATATATTTTTATCTATCCAATTTTAAACGATATTTTTGGTTTACTGTCCTATAGTATACATTGAAAACACCAACCCCCCCACCCTACACACAAATACAAAAACACAAACCACACTTGCTTTAGTTTAGAATTCAACAAACAAAGTAGCTTCCACAGAAGGAGTTATAGAACTCTTTTAAAGAACACTTAAGAACACACGTATTGTAATAATAAATACATAAAATTAAAATAAATGAAAAAATAAAAACAAAAAAATAAAAACAATTTATACAAAAAAAGAACAATTACATTTCTGTTTATGAACACACATATTGTAATAATTAGGGCCGGGACTTTAACGCGTTAATTAAGATTAATTAATTACACAAAAATTAACGCGTTAAAAAAATTAACGCATTTTAATCGCACTTATTTTTGCACCGCGGAACGTTTCTCACTGGATGAGTTTCAGGCGTACCGATTATACTGGAGCACCAACTAACGTTCATGACTTCAGACAACAACAAACCACAGTGAACAACAGTGGGAAATGTTGTTTTAAAAAACGGACGGATGGAAGCGTTGATAAGAGCACGGTTGTGTGCAAATTATGCAAAAAGGAATTCGCATATCACCGCAGCACATCAAGCCTCAAGTATCACCTCAATGCAAAACATATAGCACCTAGCGTGGACGTTAGCCTCTTTTATCGCGTTCACACCATACAGTCTATGGTTCACACCAAAAAGAGCCGGTACTAAAATTAGTTCATGAGAACCTTTTTACCCCCACGAAAGTCCCTGCTAGAGAGCAGAGAGCTGCTAGAGAGCAGGGACTTTCGTACGGCTCTCTTGTGAGAAAAGAGCTATATTTCTGATTGGCTGGGCGGATTGCAAACCACGCCCCGTAAAACTCCCAAAAAGTTTGGTGAAGCCGCCATTTTATTATCCTCGCATTAGCATTATTAGCATTAGCATTAGCCCAGCGCAGAAACGCAGAGAGACTAACTTATGGCAACACAAAATAAAACATGGGAGCGGTGGAGATGAGGAGGTGTCGGCGTTCTGGCGATTTACTCGGAAGGCTTCAGTAGAAGCTGCTGGGACTCCCAGCAGCTTCTACTGAAGCCAGTCCCCAACTCCGGGGACTTCCGGCCGGGGACTTTGGGCGGCAGTATACGCCGTGAAGTGGTTTGCGGCCTGCCAGTAAACCCAAAGCAGAAGAAGAAGAAGTGACGTCAGCGGCTTCATTTGTTCTCATGAACTAAGTTCTCATGAACCTTTGTGGGAAAAGTACTGCGGTGTGAATGCGCCTAATGGTATACTAAAATCCATGTGAAAAAAATTGCTTCTCACTGTTCTCAGGTCAAATATTTATATGCGATTAAAAATGCGATTAATTTCGATTAATTAATTACAAAGCCTCTAATTAATTAGATTAATTTTTTTAATCGAGTCCCGGCCCTAGTAATAATAAATAAATACTTTACTGACTTGTTTGACTTAAACACTCAGAATTGCACTCGTCTAGACATCTTTGCTGCAAAGTCATCAATAACATCCTCATATGACAGCTGACGAGAAACATCATGGTTAATGCTGATGATGGCAAGTCCACTGAGGCGTTCTTGGACCATTGTAGACCTCAGGTAGGTTTTAATTAACTTCAGCTTTGAGAAGCTTCTTTCTGCAGAAGCCACTGTCACTGGCATAGTGACTGCGATCCTGAGGGCCACCCACGTATTAGGATAAACCTCCCTCAGGTTCTTCCTTTCCAAGAACACCAACAGTTCCAGGGTGGTCAATGTGGGTGAGGGGAGATTTGGAAAGTTCATCAGCTCCAGTGCCAACTATTTTCCATCTATGTCTGACTGTCCGCCAGAGCTCAGGGTGTTGCTCAGTGTTTGACACTGCTTTGTCTGCTCGTTTCTGAGCAGTTCGGGAAGTTGACAAGCACCCCAAACTTTGCCTGAACTTCTTCCAGGTGTTCAAAACGCTCATTGAGGGAAGTGATGCAAACATCAACCACCCTGTTGAAAAATGTCACTTCCATCTTTTTTAGGGCATTGGCCATTGGCTCATCAGGTGCTTCATAAGAGAACTGCCTCTTGGTTGACCTCAGCCTCTTCTCCTTGAGGACAGCATCCATTTCCATGTCCTCACACATGTCTTTAGCACTGATCTGAGCAGAGGCAAATCCAGTGGCTCTGTAGTCTTCCAGGGTGGCCTTCGTCTTTCTCAGGAGGTCAACTGCGATGTCAAGTTGCATTGACACAGACTGCATGACCTTACTGACCTGTTTGACTTTACTGAGGATGTCGTACCACACCACAGTGCAAATGGAGAAGTGGTAGGACCCCACTTCCTTAGCCAAAGACTGTGCCTCTATTTTGATCATCATGTCAGTGGCCTTGTCCCTCATCTCCAAAAGTGCATCTCGAACATGTACAGCCTGATATCGCACAGCTTCCACACTGTTGACCCGGCTCTCCCACCTGGTTTCAGACCATGATTTCAAGGTAGTGGTTACATGGCTCTTCAAAATGTCCCAGCGCTTTGTGGATGCTGAAACAATGTAAAAAGCTTTTGGAGATAGCCAAAGTATCCAGTGGCATCTCGGGAGCTTTTCGCTGCATCAGCTAACACCAGATTGAGAGTGTGTGCGCCACATGACACGAATAGTGCCCTCGGGTTTAGTTCAAGTAACCTGGCCTGAACTCCTTTGTTTTTCCCTCGCATGTTGGCACCATTGTCATAAGACTGTCCCCTACAGTCCTCAAAGGGGATATTCAGTTCTTGGAGCCTGTCCAGGATGAGGGATGACAAACTCTCGCCAGTTGATTCCTCAGCGACAAGGAACCCCATGAAGTGTTCCGTAACTTGTGGCATCTCCTCCATTGTAACAATCCTTAAGATACAGTGGGGCAAAAAGGTATTTAGTCAGCCACCAATTGTGCAAGTTCTCCCACTTAAAAAGATGAGAGAGGCCTGTAATTTTCATCCTAGGTATACCTCAACTATGAGAGACAAAATGAGAAGAAAAAAAAAATCCACATTATCTGATTTTTAAAGAATTTATTTGCAAATAATGGTGGAAAATAAGTATTTGGTCAATAACAAAAGTTCATCTCAATACTTTGTTATATACCCTTTGTTGGCAATGACAGAGGTCAAACGTTTTCTGTAAGTCTTCACAAGGTTTTCACACACTGTTGCTGGTATTTTGGCCCATTCCTCCATGCAGATCTCCTCTAGAGCAGTGATGTTTTGGGGCTGTCGCTGGGCAACACGGACTTTCAACTCCCTCCAAAGATTTTCTATGGGGTTGAGATCTGGAGACTGGCTAGGCCACTCCAGGACCTTGAAATGCTTCTTACAAAGCCACTTCTTCGTTGCCCGGGCGGTGTGTTTGGGATCATTGTCATGCTGAAAGACCCAGCCACGTTTCATCTTCAATGCCCTTGCTGATGGAAGGAGGTTGTCACTCAAAATCTCACGATACATGGCCCCATTCATTCTTTCCTTTACACAGATCAGTCGTCCTGGTCCCTTTGCAGAAAAACAGCCCCAAAGCATGATGTTTCCACCCCCATGTTTCACAGTAGGTATGGTGTTCTTTGGATGCAACTCAGCATTCTTTCTCCTCCAAACACGTCTAGTTGAGTTTTTACCAAAAAGTTCTATTTTGGTTTCATCTGACCATATGACATTCTCCCAATCCCCTTCTGGATCATCTAAATGCTCTCTAGCAAACTTCAGATGGGCCTGGACATGTACTGGCTTAAGCAGGGGGACACGTCTGGCACTGCAGGATTTGAGTCCCTGGCGGGGTAGTGTGTTACTGATGGTAGCCTTTGTTACTTTGGTCCCAGCTCTCTGCAGGTCATTGACTAGGTCCCCCCGTGTGGTTCTGGGATTTTTGTTCACCGTTCTTGTGATCATTTTGACCCCACGGGCAGGGCCGCCTTAATGCACGGGCTGACCTGGGCTGAAGCCCAGGGGCCTACGGAGATCGGGGGCCTATCATGAGCCAATACAAAAATATATAAAAAGAAAGTTTTTTATTTCGGATGGTTTAACATTTTTTTTAAATAAACAAAGTCTTGACTTTCAGAATATGAAACTTTTATTTCCAAAATCACACGATACATACATTTGTGAAGCTAGTAAAGGGAAGAAGACAGCTCTCCCTCTCTACTCTGCTGTTCCGCAGCGCTGCTTCCCCTCCCTCCGCTGAAATTATGAATGTAAGGCGTATAGTAATCATAGATAACACGGCAGGGTCCGTTACAGTTTGTTTTCATCTGATTTCAAATACTCAAAATGTCTTGGCTTTCAGAATATTAAACTTGTTTCGGCAAATTCAGATGATAAATACAACTTTGAAGCTTGTAACGGCATAATTACAAGAGGAGAACGGACTAACTTGACGTCACAGCAGGCATAACAACAGCCGGTGTTTCTCGTGAGTGTTTTCCCCGGGAAACAAACACAATACACACAAACGCAAAAATACACAAACACACACACACTCGTGAGCTTCCCCCAGACCAGTAATTCAAACTAAAATATCTTCCCTCCGTAGTATTTTGATCATTTGCTCCGCTAATCAATCAGATCGATGGATTCCATTTTTCTCAAAAATGATGACTCAGAAACAGTCAGTGGGCACCACTTAACAGCCAATCAGAATGAGAATATGTTTCACATGTGACTTATTCAAATTGCGAGCGATTGAGTGACAGATGAAGGTTGTTTAGGAGAAAACGTTTGAGAAGAAAAAGTTTGAGAGTGGCGCTCGGAAGGAAATTGTTGAGGAAAAGGAGTTACGAGACAAGCAGCTATTTCAAAAATGCCGAAGCTTACAGGTTATTTTAAACCTGTAGGCCAGGATGAGGAGGAAGGACAGATTAGTTCTGTACCGAGCGGCAGCGGGGCCTCGGAGCCAAGTAGGCCGTCTGGTTCTGATAGCGATGGAGTAGCGGGAGAGGAAAAACAGACAGGAGGGACATTATCTGTTGGAGGAGATGGAGAGGACAACGAGGACTTGCTATGTGGAGGGGAGCCAACGGCAACCGGACAAATACATGAGGGAGGCCCGATACGTCACTCATCTGGAGGAGAGGACCAGGCGCGCGTAGAGCAGAGTGGAGAAGTGCGATCACAGAGCCTGCTGAGGCTATAAATGACTTTGATTTGTTGTTTAAATAGGGGGCCTACAAAACCTATCAGCCCCAGGGCCTGATGGCAGGTTAAGACGGGCTTGCCCACGGTGTGAGATCTTGCGTGGAGCCCCAGATCGAGGGAGATTATCAGTGGTCTTGTATGTCTTCCATTTTCTAATAATTGCTCCCACAGTTGATTTCTTCACACCAAGCTGCTTACCTATTGCAGATTCAGTCTTCCCAGCCTGGAGCAGGTCTACAATTTTGTTTCTGGTGTCCTTTGACAGCTCTTTGGTCTTGGCCATAGTGGAGTTTGGAGTGTGACTGTTTGAGGTTGTGGACAGGTGTCTTTTATACTGATAACGAGTTCAAACACGTGCCATTAATACAGTTAACAAGTGGAGGACAGAGGAGGCTCTTAAAGAAGAAGTTACAGGTCTGTGAGAGCCAGACATCTTGTTTGTTTGTAGGTGACCAAATACTTATTTTACCGAGGAATTTACTAATTAATTCATTAAAAATCCTACAATGTGATTTCCTGGATTCTTTCCCCCCATTCTGTCTCTCATAGTTGAAGTGTACCTAGGATGAAAATTACAGGCCTCTCATCTTTTTAAGTGGGAGAACTTGCACAATTGGTGGCTGACTAAATACTTGTTTTCCCCACTGTAACTGATAACTGCTCTGTGTGGTGTGAAGTCCAGAATGATGGAATAATATTTAGCCTTTTTAATTTCTTCAATCATGTGGGCACTGATTCTCTCACCGATACATTCAATGAGTTCATTTTGAATATTTTTTCCGAGATATGTGGTATGGCTTGCACCCCTTTTGACTTTAGCAACGTGTTCTTTCATTACAGGGTCAAACATTGCCATCAGCTCCACTTCTTTAAGGAAGTTGCCATTGTTTGGTTTGTTGAGTGTGTCCAACCCAGTCTCACAAAAAAACGTGTAATAACTACGTTGGTCCACAACGTAGGACGTAGTATTTCTACAAAAACGCCTCTGAAATTGAAAGATCCCTACGTTTTTTTGCACCATTCATTCCAATGGCTGGCATCTATGTCACGTGATCTTCACATTTCTCCCTGCAGAAAACAAAAACATGGCCGACATTCGTTTTATTAGGCATATTTAAAATGCCTATTTTAAGGTTAGTTTGGCCATTAAAATGCGTTTTGATGTCATTTGATGCGAGAAATATGAGTTGTTATTTCAGATTATGTGTGCAGTGGATGTACATGAACTTTAGTTTGCTAGTTATTACGAAGATTACTTCAGGAAATTGTGTCCATTCAACGTTTTCATTGTTACCAAGGTGGTTGCTAGGGACGCTGCTATCGATATTATTTCTGTTATGTTGTGTAACTGTTGCTAGCCCCTTCCCCGTCAATGTATAGTGTTGGTCCACAGCGCAAACGTATTAGTTTAACAAAATCCACATCTAAAATTGTGTGAATAAAAACGGCGTATGACACAATAGGATAGCAACAAGTAGTCAAGATAGTCAGTTTAGCTTCGGTTGCTATGCATAACTGCGGTCAACTCAGCCGTCTCTCGCGTTCGCTTGGTCAAATCAGCAGCTATTCATTTTTGAGTGCGCAATGAATAGCACCTTTACGGTAATCGCTGTACAAGAGTAAAATAATGCATGTTTTTTTCTGCTTTATTTGCAATACAAGTCATTTGTACCATAAGTTCTTAATAAAACTGACACTGTTTGACTCAGTCCTAGTTTGACTGCTACAATAAAATGAAGTTTTTACTGTGTACTATTTGGGTAATACTCTCTCAAAGTCCCCTCCTGAGAACAAAATCATGCCACTTCTGCTTCCACCTTATTTTCATTTAGTAGTTTGCCTTATTTTATTCAGTAGTCCTTCTCCTCCTTTTTCTTCCTCTTCTCGAGTAGTCAGTGTGGTGCTGTTGCTTTGGTCTGGGTCTCTGGATCTGTGAGCTAACCACGCCCCGTTCATTTGCATATAAGGAATGGAAATCAGTCATGAAATACAAGTCACCTGAAATAAATAAATGTGTCATTATGAAATAAATGTGTATTTAAATGTATACATATTTATTGCCTCATTTATTTATTTCATAATTTATTTCATAGGCATATTTATATATATATATATATTTAATTATTTATCTATTTATTTATTTATTTAATTTTGGCTTAAATGGCATTCCATACTTCTGATGCACAAATGTGGCGCACCTTTATGCCCTTATATATGCGCATAAGAGTCCGGTGTGCGAGGAAAATGATGCTAAATTTCAGGAGAATAATGAAGATGTGATTGGTTGTTCCACACTCCGTTTCTCACGAGACCAGCGCGCTGCTGTTTACATTAGTGTGGACTGGACCGACTGAAACTGACGGCAAGGTTAATTATTGTGGAAGGATGGACCCCCATCCTGCAACAAAAAGGCAGTGAAATGTGCTAAAATCACTGATTTATTCAGAACCCCCGTATAGAATGATGAAGCAGAAAGTAAGTGAGCGAACATTATTATGAGCCACATTTCTTTCTATATTGTAGCCTGATGTGCACATCGACTGTCAACAAAACAGTTTCTCAGTCCAATGCTAAGTTAGTGGCAGGCCCTGTGTGACTGGAGACTATAAGGCTACACAAAACCCAAACATGTCCTTAATGTTACTCAAGGCAAATATATGTAATATAACCGTTAGACTGCAGCTAACTGTGGGGCTACAAACCCCTCATACCACAGTATGAATAACTTGAGATGGTTATGTTGTCTAAAGGGGAGACAATCATTATGGTATTAGGCCATGCAAATACAGGGTCAACTTAGTGATCAAATAAGTGTTGCATAATATATGTTCTTGAATAATGTTATTTCATAAATAGTTGTTAATGATTACATGTTCTCCTTATTCAGTTCCACTATCAGATGATGCTGATGGTGATGGCCCTGAGGGAGAGATGCAGGCAGAGCTCAGTGGACAGAACTGGCCAGAGGCGCGGGAAGGTATTTTGAGTGGGGGTGCTGAGGTGCCGGACTCCAGTGAACACTATTACGGGCACTATCTACTATTGTGCGAGCACGCACAAAAGCACTCCCCACATGCAAACACACAGTACACCCGCGACTGTTAGAATGAAGGCTCGATAATCAGCTCACTGCATATAGGCAGGGGTAAAGTGCTATTTTTTACGAGTGGGGAGCGGACCAGACCTCCTCTAGGGGGGTCCGGGGGGATGCTCCGCCGGGAAGATTTTTTTAAAATATTGAAGTTAAAAGCATCAATCTGGTGCACTTTGAGAGCAACATTAAGAGATCTATGGATACATCTCTCAACACCCAGATGAAACACAACTGTAAGCAGATGTTCTTTTTCTTTATGGATATTTTACAACTAGACTTTTCTTTTTGTCGCTGCTTTTAATTGAACTATTCATATCTTAGACTGCACTGTAACTTTTATCCATGTACTTTTTCTTTTAATGTTTAATTGCACTGTAACTTTTATCCATGTATTTTTTCTTTTAATGTTTATTTTATTAGCTTTTCTTTTTAATGACTGATTTTAAATGCCATTTTCTTAATCTCTTTCATTTTTTGTAAAGCACTTTGAATTGCCTTGTGTTGGAAAGTGCTATATAAATAAACTTGCCTTGCCTTGCCTTGCCTTACAAATCACTCCCCTTTCAAACTGTATTCTTGTTTTACTGCCATATAGTATTTCATAACTGTTTTTCCTTTATTCTCTTATTTGTTTTATAACTATAATGATCATATGAAGGTGTGCCGCGGAAATAATCTTTTGAATAATTTGTGACCAAACCGTTTGAGACCCACGGAGATAACTTAGACTAAAGTTAACTATCTAAACACTCAGAGAGTCCTTTAGCTCACCTGAGCCTCTCAGTCTGAGAGGAGAGCTCTCCTCCAGCTCGTTGTGGAACCAACAGCTCGGTATGTCCATTAGTGCAGCTAGCTAACCAGATGCTAACAACACGGTCCCTGCTGCTGGCACCGGTCCCTCTCTCTCTCTCTCACACACACACTAAATGCGCTATTTCCACACACACACACACACACACACACACACACACACACACACACACACACACACACACACACACACACACACACACACACACACACACACACACTTTTATTGGTCTGGTGTCTTGCCTCTGTTGCATTCACTGAACACGGGAAATTACAGTCCTGCCGTCCTCTCTAGTGTCATGATGAGGTTCACGTAAAGCACGGTTAATGTATTATATTATTGAGGTAGAATTGTCCGGGGCTACAGAAAAAACTTTCGGGGCAGGTCAAAATATTATTTTACCAACAATGTGGAATTTATTGGCTACATATTACACAGATTATGCACAGCGGGAGCAGCAATAACTGTCAAATAATAATTCAGACAGGGGTGCTGCAGCGCCCTCAGCACCCCCCTTCCCACGCCCATGGATAATACTGTACAACAAACGGCTTCTGTTTAAGGTTGATAAAATAAGGTCATCCTTGTAACTTAGAGAGATATTTTATTATGTAGGTAGGAACTGTATGCATCGCAAAGGTTAATTTAAATTGGCTATGATCAAGTATGTAGACAAGTTAAGGTCGAAGTAGTGTATGTGAAATCAACCTCACAATAAGATGTGTGTATATTACAAATAATAATGTCATATTTCAAGATGATTACTTAGATATTACAATATGGTTGGTTGAGCTGGAGTTCATTATTGAGCTTACACGTTAACGTCACAGTCATCTGAAGAACAAACCCAAACCTTGTTGTTTTTATTAATTGCATTACCAAATGGGTATCAAATAAACAGTAAGCATTGGTAACACAACTTCCAAAGTTACAGTAAAATAAAAAGGACCCTGACTCGGACAATACACAATCCAACATGTTCAACAGAAGATAATCAGTTATATTGTTTGTACACATGGTACTTTACATATATATCTGTTTGTTTAAGTTCTCCAGGTGATGCAGACAGGCTGGACCAGAGAGTGAGAGACAGAACTGGACTCCTCACAGCAGTGATTAGTTAGATATTACCATATGGTTGGTTGAGCTGGAGTTCATTATTGAGCTTACACGTTAACGTCAGTCATATCCAGTGTTGTGCTAGTTACTGAAAACCAGTAACTAGTTACCATTACTAGTTACTTAATTTCAAAAGTAACTCAGTTACTTTACTAGTTACTTGCACCAACAAGTAATGCGTTACTGTGAAAAGTAACGTTTTCGTTACTTGCAAAAATGTCTCCCATTAATGCCCTTATAGCCTTCATTTCAGTACTGTTATTGCATTAGAGAATAATACAATCTGTTGATCAACTTGACATGCATTATATGCAATCTGGATTGCTTCGATATTAGCTGGCTTTCCATTTTTGTATATTCTTTCTCCAGGTAGTTGGAAAAAGTTTTCCGTCCCATATGCCGCCCGGACTTGGTATCATGCTAACTAGCTCCTTGAAAGCGGGTGACTCCACTGTAGCAATAGCCTGCATGTGTTCTACAACATACCGTGCATGGCTTTATCGACTTTTCCCTGGCTAGCAGTCCCTTGGTTAAAATCCAGCCGCTGTTGCTTAGGTGGAGGTGGAGTGGCGTCGGCTGAGTCTCTGTGGTCTTAGCTACGTCCCAGCATGTTGTTTTTGCAGATGTTTTAAGAGATTTGAATTACTGGTTTGGGCAGTAGATAGGATCTTTGACCCGCCAAGACACAACTTACATTTAACAGAAACGTTCTTTTCTTTGTGCTCGACAAAAGTGAAATAGTGAGAATATCTCCAGGTGGAGAAACTAGACTTGAGCTCCGCCGCCGCCATGATAGTCTTGTTAGTAAACAACACAAACACGCCCACAGCACGTCTCCGCATGTGACACAGGAAGTATCTAAGTACATTTACTCAAGTAGTACAGTACTCATCTCTGTTCGCCTGGCTGTTGACTATATAAAAAAACTAACGCAGTAACGGAGTAACGCACCATGTAGTAACGGTAACTGAGTTACTGAATTAAAAAAGTAATGCGTTAGAGTACCCGTTACTGCCAAAAATAACGGCGTTACAGTAACGCGTTACTTTGTAACGCGTTCGTTGCAACACTGGTCATATCTGAAGAATGAACCCAAACCTTGTTGTTTTTATTAATTGTATTACCAAATGGGTATCAAATAAACATTAAGCATTGGGTAACACAACTTCCAAAGTTACAGTAAAATAAAAAGGACCCTGACTCGGACAATACACAATCTAACATGTTCAACAGAAGATAATCAGTTATATTGTTTGTACACATGGTACTTTACATATATATCTGTTTGTTTAAGGCAGGGATGGGCAAATGGCGGCCCGCGGGCCGCATGCGGCCCCCACCTCCTCTTTTTGCGGCCCTCAGATTAATTTATAAACAACGTAATTAATAAAAAAAATTAACAAAAAAAAAAAACTTTTTTTTTTTAACTTGTAGTACTGATACCATCCACTAGACTCCTAGTTACGTCACGAGCTGCGTAGATGATTTCAAATACCGCGAAATAATCTGTGACGCATTTGTGTGTATTGTGTTTGTTTCCCGGGGAAACCCTCACAAGAAACACTGCTGTTGTTATGCCTGCTGTGACGTTAAGTTGCCTCTTGTAATTATGCCTGTTGACAGAGTCACATGTATAGCAATAAACTGGTCATGACGACGAGGTCTTCTTTAGCCTTAACTGGCGTGGTTTATTTTCATATGTGCATTGCACCACTTGACCTGCTCTCCATGAGAGCTAGAGAGAGAGAGATAGAAGGGGAGGGAACAATCCCTTATACCTGATACCTGACGTCAGCTACAATAGCTGCGCCTCCTTACGCCTATAGCGCCCTCTTACTGTGGAACAGTTATAGTGCAGTTACATGCAGACATATTAATACTTACACTTAACACTCCCACTTATGAATGACGTGTATACTGTACAACTTTTCCATGAAAAATAACAGTTCAAAACATCAAAAGAACATGGCAGTCAATATTACATAATAGGCAATATTTTACACACCGACATTTTTTTCAATTTCAGTTTGGAGACAGGCTTGGTCATAGCATCTCGTTCCAATTTCGCCCAGACTGTTTCAGGCCGTAAATGGATTTTTCTAGCTTGCACACTAGCTTCTCTCCTTTCTTCTCGTAACCTTCAGGTTGTTCCATATATATGTCCCTATCAATGGGTGCGTGCAGGTAGGCTGTCTTCACATCCATCTGGTGTAAAATCTAGTCGTCTTCAGCTGCCTTCTGCATAACTACCCGTACACTGGTCAGATTAGCTGTAGGGGAGAATGTCTCACCGTAGTCTATTCCTTCCCTCTGACTGTAGCCTTTAGCTACAAACCTGGCCTTGTACCTGTCGTGCCCTTCAATACCCTCCTTGATTGAGTACACCCACTTGCCTCCCACTGTCTGTCTACCCTCGGGTAACTTTGTTAGAGTAAAAGTATGATTGTCCTCCAGAGACCTCATCTTCTCATCCATCGCTCTCTCCCATTTTCCCGACTCAGGGGATATCATGGCCTCTTTAAAGGTCTGAGGTACACCACTCACTACTCTGTAGCAGTAATCTATGCTGGTAAGTGTACTGTCATCCTCGTCACTTTCTCTCTGGGCATAGTCTTTCAGATACTTTGGGGGTTTATGTTCCCGGGAGGGATATCTCCCACTGCATGAGGCACGTGACGTCACCCTAGGGTGTTTCTCACCATCATCCTCCGGTGGCTGTTGACCGTCTGTCTGCATGTCTGTGCTCAGTACACTAGGCTGTGGCGTCTCTCTTTTCTCACACCCTATTCTGGAGTCCAGCTCTGGCTCCTGTGTCTGTGTCTCGTTCTCACAGGTTGTCTTTGTGACAAACTTTACTAACCTGTGCTTTTGCACTTTCCCCTTACCGGGATAATAGACTAGAAAAGTGGGGCTGCCCTTGTCATGCCCTACAAAAAGTCCTTTCTCACACCTGGACTCGAGTTTTCCTCTGTCCTGCTGGTAAGCATAACACA